TATATGCGCATGGGGAGGTAGGGTAAGGACAGTAAGACTGAATAGGCACTGAATAATCTGTTGAATGAATAAATGAGTATATGGGTGAAAAAAACCAAAGTGTGAATATATGCTATATATATGTATTTTTAATGCACTTATAGGAGGCTCTTTTCCTGTGAGTGCTTGGAAAGGAAAGGACAAGAGGAAAGAGGAGTTGAGGGAGAAATGGGAAAGTAAGAATGGGAAGAAAAAGGGGGGAGGGACATGGCTGCTAGGGTAGGAAGAAGGCCCAGCAACTCTGAATGTTGATCACAATCTTTGTTAGTTCTAGAATGATCTTTATCGTACCTATTACCATGTAAACTTTTAGGACTCAAAACATGTTTCAGTTGATGGAAAGTTCCCTGTTTACTAATTCTTCTGGAACCAGTTGTAAAATGTGTTTAATCATCTCAGTGTGTTCTTAGGTAAGGAATGGGAGGAGGCAGTGTCATGTGGCTTCCTAAATCCGGTTTTTGTGTAAGAACTAATCCAGGAAGCATTCCCTAATATTAAATCAAACAGAACCCCATCTGTAGGAGGAACATAGGTGATGTTGCAATGACAGGACTCACCTTTCAAACTCAAGCTTGATAAGGTTTTGGGGAAAAGAGCAGCATTATGTCCAAAAGTCAGGTCAAAAGCCTCTCCACACATTGATTTCTCAATCCAGGACCCATGATATCAAGGAAAACAAAGGCCCTCCCTCAAAATGAAGCCATTAGCAAACATCTCTTTGCTCTCCGGGGTTTTGTGTTCTCTCCCAACACCTTTCTGCATTATCACTTTGTATTGAGATAAGAGTTTAATTTTGCAGGCAAAAGTATTTTGTATTTTGAAATACAAAATATCAATTTGTATTTGGAGACAGAAGAGGCCAGTGGTTCTGAGGGCAGAGCTGAAGGCTGTTGCTACCCTTGTTCACGCGAGAAACATCAAGATGAAGAGCGCAGCCGCGGATCTGACATTGCCTCTGTCAGCAGCTACGTAAGTTACACAACCTTTCTATGCCACCTAGGCGAAAGGGGGATAAAATAGTCTTATCTCCTAGCAACAAATGAGTTATACAGGTGATGCATTTCAAACAGTGCCTGAATGTAGCAGGCATTCAGTAAGTTCTAGGTATTAATAGGATATGAGAAAAGAAATATATTTTTTAAAAATATATTTCATTGAGTTTTTACAGAGAGGAAGGGAGAAGGAGAGTTAGAAACATCGATGAGAGAGAAACATCGATCAGCTGCCTCCTGCACACCCCCTACTGGGGATGTGCCCACAGCTAAGGTACATGCCCTTGACTGGAATCGAACCTGGGACCCTTCAGTCCACAGGCCGACGCTCTACCCACTGAGCCAAACTGGTTAGAGCCAGAGT